AACCTGCGATAGTATCCAGCTAGACCGAGAAAACTGCGAACCTCGGACGGACTCCTCGGTGTCGACCAGTTCTGAACAGCTGAGACCTTGGAAGGATCCACCTCGATACCTACTTGAGTAATCACATGACCCAGAAAGGATACTCGCTGGAGCCAGAACTCGCATTTGGAGAATTTCGCAAACAACTTTTCTCGTCTGAGGGTTTCGAGAACCACCCTCAGATGCTCCTCGTGCTCCTTCTGGCTCTTCGAGTTGATAAGAATATCGTCAATAAAGACAATAACGAACAGATCGAGGTAGGGATGAAAAATACGATTCATGAGGTCCATGAAAACTGCTGACTAAGAATGGACACTTTTCTAAAAGAAAGTGTTCCACTGATAAGACATGATCTCAAAACGAAACTCTGAAACGCATTGGTCCTTATCTCCTGGCTGCAGGCTGATCTCCAATCGGAATGCTGGTGGTGAAGACTCCTGTCGTTGGTACACATGGAAGATTCCCGAGATTCACATATGTACAAATGAGGATAACTAGCTGTATTGGTAATTACCTTTCATGAGTGTCTGTTCGACAACGCGGCACATCGTTTGCGGCACATTGTAAGGCGGCACACCTGCTCCTCATCAAGTGAGTGCGGCACGCCTGCATACAGCACCTAGCGAACATTGCACCTGCGTCGTTGACGTAACCTGATCGCATTTATACCTCAAGCTAGTAACCTCAATGTACGTTAATACTAACTCTCTGTAATCTCCCAGTGTAACGAGACTCAAGCATGGCATCTTTAAATGGAAGGCGTCGGTTTGTCATCCTGGCACGATCTGTTGCTATCGATTGGCCCTTCTTCGTCGCGGCGTATGTCAACCTGTGGTACCTGCAACTGTTTACTCCTTCCGAGATTAAACTTAACCTCAAGAAGAAGTCCATCATGAACATCTCCCCCGATTCTCCGATTCTTCAGAATTTGAGACTCGAGGCGCTGATATACTGAAAATGCTGGATAAGTCTTGTCTTATTAGACAGACCATCCTTGATCTTAACATGACTGGCCTGAATATTCTTATAACTGAATGACCATGACTGGAATCTTACATGTCTGAATCTTCTT